ATAAAAAAAGTTAATTACATGTATTTAAGACTTTTATGAAATTAAAATAGTTAAAAATATCGTTTGTAATATCCACTTAATTATTTTTCATTAATTTAATGTTTGTTTTAAACAATTTCAAAATCTATATATCCTTCATAATCACTTTAGAAGGCATGCCAAAATCTTGGATTAATTTAAAAACCATTTTTTAATTAGAGTTTCAAAAAATGGTTTTTTAGTGATTAACGGGAAATATATATTTTTATAATTAATATAATTTGGTACCTTATTGTGTAACATACTTTTGTATTATATATAGTTGGCGGTCCCACGTAACAAACAATAATTAAAATATCAAATTTTTTTTCTTATTTATTTATGTATTTATTTTCTTTAAATTCCACAATTTTTAATTTCAACACACTATATTTTTCCACAGAACGAAGCTCCTATGCCGCCAAGCTTCTCCAGCCACCACCACCACCACCACGATCTCTACAACAACCAAGACCAATTCATGAGGTCACGCCCCTTCGAAACCTCCGCCGACAACGCCACCGGAATCCTCACCTACTTTCCGGCCAACCCTCTACCTCCTCCACCGCTGCAATCGGTAACTTCTCCGGACAAGCTCAGCTTCGCTGAGGTTATGCAGTTCGCCGACTTCGGTCCGAAGCTCAGCCTCAACCGGTTCGACGAGGATGACGAACCGGCCGGGATCGACCCAGTCTACTTCTTGAAGTTCCCGGTTCTGAATAACGAGCGGGCGGAGGAGGCGGCGGCCGGAGAGGAGGAAGCGGCGGAGATGGGAGGCAGAATTGTAGGGGAGTTAGAAGAAGAGGAGAATTTTAGGAACAATAAAAATGGTAATAATAATAATAATAATAATAATAATAATGGTAATGGTAATAGTAATAAAAGGAAAAGAGGAAGGACGGTGAAGACAAGCGAAGAGGTGGAGAGCCAAAGAATGACGCATATTGCAGTGGAGAGAAATCGAAGGAAGCAGATGAATGAACATCTCCGGGTTTTGCGCTCTCTCATGCCTGGTTCTTACGTTCAAAGGGTACGTTTTTTCTCTCTTTTTTTCTAATTTCACGGCGGAGAGATATAATATAGATGGCGGAGAGATTATAATAGAGATGGCGGAGAGATTATAATAGAGATGGGCGGAGAGATTTTCTGGACATGGGAGAGTTTTATTTTTATTTTTATTTTGTGATAAAATATTATTAGATTTATTAGAATATTTTATAGTTTAAATATAAATTAAATTTACACACTGCAGGGAGATCAAGCCTCCATAATCGGCGGAGCAATCGAGTTCGTGAGGGAGCTGGAGCAGCTTCTCCAGTGTCTAGAATCGCAAAAACGACGTCGTCTCCTAGGAGAGCCACCACTACAGGCAGGCGACACACCTCCGCCGCAGCAACCGCCATTTCTTCCGCCGGGAGCAGGGAATTTCGGTGGTCACCAAAACGAGGGGCAAATATTGGAAACGACGGCGGAGAGCAAATCGTGCTTAGCTGACGTGGAAGTGAAGGTTTTAGGGTTCGACGCAATGATAAAGATCCTGTCGAGAAGACGACCGGGACAGCTGATTAAAGCCATCGCCGCCCTCGAAGATCTTCACCTCAATATTCTTCATACAAATATTACCACCATTGAACAGACTGTTCTTTATTCCTTCAACGTCAAGGTTAGTCAATTTTTATTTTTATTTTTAATTTTAAAATTTCATTTTTCAAAATTTTAACTCCTTGAAAATTCATTTCAGAACTTTTAATTTGGGAATTTTTTTTAAAATATTTTTTTAGTAAGAACAATATATTCCAGTTGATTCATTATTATTTTATTTGATAATAATTAAGCTCGGTTCAATAATTATTTAATTTTTAAAAATTAAAAATAATACTAAAACCTATCAAAATTATTTGTGTTATTATCCACTTTTTATTAAAAAAAAAAAAAAAAAAAAAAAAAAAAAAAGAGTTTTTCTTCATGTGGAATTAATTTCTTTACTAGTATTTTCGCATTTCTTAAATAAATTTTTAAATTTTTAATCAATTTCCAAAAACAAATTGTAAAAAAAACTTTTATTTAAAAATTTCAAAATTTAACTTAACATTGGCAAAATAATAATAATAAAATAATTTATTGCAATTAGAATAATAGTGTGAATTTTATAATTATTAATCGATTTATTTTGACTGTGATTGGCAGATAGCAAGCGAGTCAAGATTCACAGCAGAGGATATTGCGAGCTCGGTTCAGCAGATATTCGGTTTTATTCATGCGAACACCGGCATGTGATGCAATAAATTAAACCCATAAATATCTCATCAAAATATTTGTATCATTAATTATTTATTTTTCTGCCTTTTCTCCTGTTGTTTTATTGTTTTAAACCAAATAAAAAAATATATATTTATATTTCTCCCCCTCTTTAAATTCTATGACTTTATCAATTCTTTAATAATGTTTTTCTTCCAAATTTATTTTTATGTTTTTTAGAAATTAAAATATTAAAGAGATTTTCAATTCATTTATGTACCAATTTTACTTGAGTGAGGCAGATATACTTAAATACAAAAATATAAAATATACAAATAGTAAATAGAAGCTTCTAAATATTGAAATAATTTATTTTCGTGCATTAAACTTTGCGTTGAGATTAAATTTAGTCGTTTGGAACTTAAATTTAATCTTAAAATAATATCAAGTTAGAATCATATTTAATACGCATAAATAAAATGGATATTAATATATTTGCACGAATAGTGTAAATTAGAAATTGATAATTTAAAAATAATTATTAGAAATTATTAAATATGTGGAAGAGTGTGTATATATATATATTTATATTTATATATATAATTTGTATTATTGTATCTAAAAAATGGATTATTATTGAAGAGACCAAAAACAATTTGTCTGTTTTGTAAAAAACAAAAAGAAAATTAAATACATATTGACTTTGGTTGAATTAATACAGCTATAGATACAGACATTACAAATATACATGTTACAAAGTCAAACCTTGTGAGACTTCTTAGTCAAATGGTCTACAACTAGTCAACTCTCTTTCTCTTTCTCTCCTTTTCCTTCAATAATACAAAAGAAAACTTATAAAAATATATATTTTTTTTGGTAATTTCACTTGAAATATTTATATTTTGTCGGGAAATTTGACAATATCATACTATTGTGAGAATTTAATTTTTTTATAATAAATTGATGTCTCTTAAAGGACTAAACAGTCAACCTATATAATATATTTCTTTTGAGCACTAATCACTTATTTCTCTAAAAACCTACAAATCAACCTTACATTATTGTAAAACTTTAAAAAAAAAACATATTATATATAGGATATATCGGTGTTAAAACGTCTTGAGATATCATTGAATTGTTGAGATCGTGGCTCCGTAGTTTGTTTTCGGGTATGAAACTAGCTAATTCCATGCAGATTGGGGACAAGATCTTAGCTTAAGTAGCTCAAAATTTATAATTTCAAAACAAATTTTAACGAATTAGAGAGCCAAAAACTACAAGAAAAGAAGAAAAATGATTATTCTCTAATTTATTTTATTATTATTATTATTATATTTTTGGGAATATGTGGAAAGAAAATAATAGAAGTTGACATTGCAGGTTGGCATTGGATGGTTTGAAAGTCAACGCCATGCCCTTGTAATTGTAATTGTCCTGAAGTCGTTGACCTGTCAGAAAAATTAAAAGTACTTTTTGGTGCTTTCCCCTTTTCTTTGGCGGTGGCGATGGGCGGTGGGGCAGCCGGTGGGGGCGGTGGGGCCGCCGTGAGGGAAAGTCTTGAAGCATTTTTTCCGATTGGATCTGAACCTAAAGACTATGTTGCAGGCTGTGATCCAAAATGCATGTGGGGACTGCAAATTACGTTTTCCAATTTGCTTTATTTCTCCTCCTCCAATTTTATTATTAAAATTAAATTAAATTAAAAGAAAAATAAAATTATGAAATTTTAAAATAGCTCTAATTTATTTATTTATTTTTAAATAATAAATACAATATTTTATTTATTTATTTATTTATTTGGGTATGAAGAGTCAAGAGTGACTATTCAATAGGTTGATTGTACAAATTTGGCATCCCATACACAAAACCAATAACCTCTTAAGTTTGCCACTTACATATATTTGAGGCACACACCACTCTCTTCAAAATGGAATAGAAAGCTTAAAGTTCATCATAATATATATATATATATATATATATACATATATTTTGTCACATCTCCTACTCGGGTTATACAGTATCAAAGTTGTAATGCATTTTCTCGCTCACGTTTTCTAAGACACCTTTTCTCAAACGTGACTCATGTTCGATCAAGTGCTGCACAATCGTCATCCCGCTGACCCGCGATTCAATCACCAACTTTTGTTTTGGTTTTTCCTCGAATCATATCTTATTTTGTGAGTGTTCACGTTGATACCATTTGTAATGTATCATGTCAATGGTCAAACAAGGTTTTGGATCCATATTTGACACCTAATACTCTTATGCATCCTCGACAATATGTCCACGTTACCTACTTATTTTGAAATACTTCTTAAGAGTGAAGACTATGACCATAGATCAACTTGAGTTATTTCAGCATGTTTTGTCCTTACTCACCTCCCGAAAAGTATATGGGCGAGGGTAAATCATGTTAAATGACCCACTTAGAAGTATTTTAAAGACAAGCAGATGGATATGTCGTAGTAATGCAGGAGAATGTCGAGGTCATCATGTGCTACCCCGAGAGGTTAAATCTTAGGTATAAGGCGTTACCATCTACGAAGTACGAGGATTTTACTAACCCTAAAAAGACAATAACTTTTTGTTTGTTTTTAAAAAAATAAAAAAAAATAGAAACTACAAATAAAAAAGATGTTAGGCCCAAGATGAGATAATGGGCCTTGAAAAGCTCGGCCAGGCCCAGCCCATCAAATCTAAATCGCATATACATATCGAAATCTTTCACTCGAAGCATATCTTTCTCCCTAAACCCTAGTTGCTTGTAGAGACTGAGAGAGTAGCCGCTGAACCAAACATGGTGTCGGGTTCTGGAATCTGCGCGAAGCGCGTCGTCATTGACGCAAGGCACCACATGCTCGGGAGGCTGGCTTCGATTGTGGCCAAGGAGCTTCTCAATGGCCAGAAGGTGGTCCTCGTCCGATGTGAAGAAATTTGCATCTCTGGAGGATTGGTTCGCCAGAAAATGAAGTACATGAGGTTCTTGAGGAAGCGTATGAATACGAAGCCCTCTCATGGCCCTATTCACTTCCGTGCTCCTGCCAAGATCATATGGCGAACAATCCGTGGGTAATGTCTGTTGTCGCATTGTTTTTTCCTGATTGTTCTTAGTTAGATTGAGATGAAAGTGTGTGTTCGATTTGTCTTTGTATTGTTTGAATGCGATTTACTACGATTTATTTAGGTCTGGAAATCGGTCATGAGAGCAGCAACATACATTTATGATTTCTTTGGTATTTGAGTTATTTGTTTAGTTTGTACCTGGTTAGGTTAGGAACAAAATTGTTAGTGAAAGGCTGTATTATGATGTAGAGTGATTGTCTTTGTATTTATGGCTTACTACTGTTTGGTTGGCAAACTGTTAGGCTTATGGATGCCATATACAAACTGTTAACTCATATGCCATATTTCCATTTCCTCGAGGGAACTTGTGCCTTTAACTTCTTTGCTTTAGGTTAAGGGTTTGGATTCGTCCTTTATCTGTTTTCAGCCCAAAATGTATGTGCTGGATAGGTTGGTAGCTTATATGGTTACTGTTTGTGTGTTTCTTAGGATGATCCCACACAAGACAAAGCGTGGAGCTGCAGCTCTTGCTCGTTTGAAGGCATATGAAGGTGTTCCTCCTCCCTATGATAAGATGAAGAGGATGGTCATCCCCGACGCTCTCAAGTGAGTTTGAGGATGATCTCTTTTATGGTGCCAGTTGGCAATAATGAGTTCCGTTTGTTTACTTATTAATCCTAGCTATGAATTCAAATTCTTAGATGCAAAAGTAATAAATGAAACAATGCAAGTAAACCCTTTTATGTACTGGTTTTCTGTATTGATGTGTCTCTATATTGGATATTAGGGTTTTGAGACTTCAAGCTGGACACAAATACTGCTTGTTGGGCAGACTCTCATCAGAAGTGGGATGGAATCACTATGACACTATCAAGGTAAGGATTAAGATTGATGAATCCATACCATTCCATATTGTTTCTATATTCTATTTTCCAACCTATCCAATCAACATTCCCAATCTTACCTGATTTATCATTGGATAAATTCCTTCATTCATCTTTGTCATTAAAGTAGGATTTATGAATGATATGGGGTCCATTAAGTATAGTAATCTATCATCTAATGACCTGTCAAATGTTTGAATGGAAATGTACTATTGTAGTAATAGAAAATTTTCCGTTTTCTTCAAACCTCCCCCATTTCCAACTATCGCAATTGGTCATGTTCCATTGATTTTCATGTTGATGAAGTGAATAGATGATGCTTTTGCCTATTTTTAAAACCATTCTATGTCGGGTAACGCTGATTTATTTTTTCGTTCCCTCAGGAGCTTGAAAGGAAGAGGAAGGAGAGGGCTCAAGCAGCATACGAGAAGAAGAAGCAGTTGACTAAGTTAAGGGTCAAAGCTGAGAAGGTTGCAGATGAGAAGCTCGGTCTCCAGTTGCAAGTAATAGCCCCAATTAAATACTAGTTTGTTGCGAGGTTGTGTTTAGTTGAGAATGCCTAATGTTATGGGAGAATGGAGTTGCAGTTGAATTTGCATTTTGCATTTTCTTTTTCAGTACCATTTTGTTTTCCTTTCCTTTTTCTTCGGATTTTGAAATTAGTTAAATTTTGGGGAATCACTTGTTATTCCTTATTCTACCTACTGCAATGGATTTCGTCCTCATTGAAACTAAGTTACTTTTACTTGGGAAATTAATTACAATAATGATCTTGTTACAAATATCCCTAATGTTAATCTATTGAGATTAATATATAATGTATTTATTAATTTGAGATGAATTAAAAAATGAATCTAGAAAGATTAAGGAGAATTTTCATTTATTTATATGATGCCAGAATTTTTAGTGAAAACTTGGAGAATCTACGAGTTAAATGCGTCCATCAAAATGGATTTGGTTTTGCATATTGAGGCATATCTATCATTCAAATTAGAATCTACCAAGAAGTAAAGATAGATTCAAATAATGTCATTGTCTTTCCCCATTATTTAAAAATCAATACAAGTCATTGCATCAAACGGCATAAAAGAACTGAATTTAGAGGTCAGGGTAAGAATGTAGGTCAACGACGGCCGCAGTCATTGCCCTTTATTTTCCCATATTCAGTTTCCGTAAATCAAAAGAACAATATTTTCGTGTAGATGTTATGACCTCTTTCATGCATCCTGGTAATGATTTCTCCAGCATTTCGATCATTACCACAACGATGCTGTCGATAGAAAACTTCCTAACCAGTTTTCTGCCACTGTAACCATTTACCTTCACAGGCGACTCAATGATCATCTCCATCCAGTCCCAACCATCTATTCTGAATCTGTTCTACCTCTAAAGAAATTCTGTGTTCGGGATTTCTAATGCACACAATACACGACAAAAACAAAGAAAGAAATCAAAATTTTCAGCTCACAATTGTTGGAAGCTCCCTCCCTGCCTACTTGATGTTGTGTGTTGGAACACTCAGATAAAATTTCGTGTTCTTGAAGTCATCTAGAAGGGGATTGTATCCATCCTTCAATCTCGTCTTTGATGGCAATCCGAACTCTTCCATGAACGACGATGTGTCAAGCTGTCACCAAAATGGGGATGGGGCAAACAAAACTTCAGCATTGGCAACAGAGGAAATTGACAGTGAAATCAAACTCATCATGCAATAATAGTCAACATAATTCTTACATTATAATAATACCTAACTTAGTAATTCAGTTCAAATTAGGAAGAAATCGGAAACAAAAATTATTCATCTTGATCTTCATTTAGAATCTGAGGCTATTTATCCCTCAGCATCAGAGTGAGCAAGTTTACAAGAATCAAGCGGCATTTAGTTTTGACGAATAGCATGTCAGAGAGTGTGCAACTTACAATTATTGTTCGCCTCTTTTTCCCCGTCTTTGGCTTATCTCCATGTAATTTCAACCATCCAGAACAATAATGATCAATCTGTTCCAATAATAGGAAGTCTGTGGGGAAAAAGATGTCAGCATCACCCTGCAGATCGACCATTTTAGTACTTTTTCAAGGTGGAAATAGCAACACTCACTAGAAAATGAGAAGGCAACAGCCGGTGTCTCACTTCAAAACCTCTTCAAGTTATGCAATAAGAGGATTCTAATGATAAGGGAAAGATAGAAATTTGAATCTAGTTTTAAGTTTCTCGACTCCAGGCTTGCGTACCTTTGCATCCAGATAGCTTTCATAGTCTGAGCTGCTTCCATGTGCCTGCACACCGCACATTACAACGTAAAAAATTGAAACTACAATCATTTTATGTACTCATTCTCGGACAAAAAATAATGTTCGTTTTATTACTATTATCTGATTTTAGTACAAATCTATCATCCAGAAGATACAGGATTCTCAAACCTCGTCAACTAGAAGAAAGAACATACCTTGGTTGAAACTAACGGTGCTCTTTCACCAGCTATCCTCACATCAGGTAAGTAACTAAAATCCGAAGCAATTAATGACATCTTTGGTAGCACACGATGCAACACTTCGAGTAGATTCTGCACAACCAGTACAACACTAGAGTTGGTGAAATCTAGGGAGAGGGAGGGGGACAGGATAAATGAAGTGGTTTCTCACCAAGCAACCAGTTGGTAGCCAACATTTTCTGGGTTTTGGAAACGCTCTAGACCAAACGCCTTTTGCTTTTGATAGTAAACTGCTTTTGGCCTGGTCATTTTCATTGAAATTCACAATCTCTACACATCGCTTAATAAGAGGGTCTTGCAATGGTTTATATAATTCCACAAGCGATTCCCTGCAGCCATAGAGAAGCAGGATCGGTAACGACTCCAAAAAATCGTCACAAGTAAAAATAAGCCAAACATCTTGCTAGGCAACATATCACAGAGAAGCTTCTTATATACACAGTGCTTGTTGATGACTACAGTTTTAAAAATGGAGCCCGGAAGCAAGCTGCTTCAACCCTGGCCAAATCTGTGAACATGTTTTTTTTTTTTTCCCTTTTGGATGTGAGGCCCAACGATGCTGGTGGGCAGAAAATGACTATGGGCCGGTAATTAAAGTTGAACTTGTTAACAGAACACCCTTGTTTCTTTTAAGTATTTAACCATATCACATACAGATGAAATAAGTGAACCAATAGTCTAACATACGATCTCCTCTTTTAGGACAACGTAGCAAGAACTAAATGCAGGCAGGCATGAATAATAACGCATACCTCTCAAGTTGCTTTTCTACCCATACTTCCATCCATGAGGAAACCTGATTTTCTGAGTAAATAAGATCATGAGGAAGATTGTCTAGTACCTGTGAGAAATCAACAATTTAATTGGTCAATGAAACATAAAATTGACTCAAAATCAAAAGAAAGTTAGAAACCGCTTGAAGATAAAAATTCACATTCTCAACAAAGTCTTCGGTGAAAATTTGTTACAAGATTATGATTCATGATTGAGTGATGAAACAATGAGCAACAATGAGCAACAATTGAGGAAACACAACAACGATGTACTATATCAACAAAAACAACTCAATCCCTGTGCCCATCTTCTATGTATATGTAATCAAACTCTTCCAATTAAAGGATCAGCAATTTCAAATTTTCCACAAGTAGTTGATCTTTAACTCTCTATCCCTAATTTTAAAATCAAGCGTGCATTCAGTTTTTCATGTTCGACCTCCTCCTTCACATGCTCATTTGCAAGATCGATTAGTGCTAATTTTAAGAACCAAAAAGTGAATATATCGATCAACATCTATTCAACGGAAATATGGGGGTTGAGGTGGTCCCTGAAATACACATAAATGTGGAAAAGGAATCTATGACCTTTTGCTTGTTCAAATTTTGAAAGAATGTAAACTTTGTGAAGATCTACGAGAGCTAAAGACGAGATATACCTCAAGCATAATTACCCAACACGGCTGCTCCTTCACTTCTCCTGTGATAGGAGGAAGGCAATGGTTAATATTAAAACTATATTGTAGAATCATAAACGCAGAGGACATATTTAAATAAAGGAGAAACAAAAAGTACCAACCCACTACCCATTATAGATAGTCAGCTGCTGGGTACGAGGAAAAACGAAGAACACAGTTTAAACACTTGTATCTACATTGGAATCTGTTCTCCTTTCTCATCCCACACCTGGGTGTTCTCTCCGGCACAAAAGAAATAATTGCTTAGACACCATGTGAGAACTTTCACCCATTCATTCATCCATATAACTCTTCAAACTTGATGCTACCCCCCACCCATCCATCCATCCACACACCGCCCAAGACAAAAGTATGCAAATGATTGACAGCACTTGAAAGGAATAGTTTAGGGAAATGTACGAAAACATACCCCATCCACTTAAGTCAGCAGCATCACGACATTCTACGCTGAATTTTGATTGGTGACTACGAACCTCTCCAACAGTTTGTCTTTGTATCTCCGCTAATGAAGGACTTATTTCCACTGAGCTACAGTTATATATGTAATTATCATGTAAGACATAAGGACAGAAAATTGAGACATGGGAAAATGGAAAATTGAGAATTTTTTCTTGCATATACCTTAAATCATACATTTAGACTTTTGATGTTAATTTTTAGCGAAATTAGTTAAATAACAATAGTAATTTTTTTATGTAGAATAGATACTATGTGCATATGTTTTCAAAATTTACAAAGGTTTTCCAGGGGGGGGGGGGGGGGGG